GGATTGTCTCATCGATTGCGAATAACGACAGCTTCGTACTTGCTTGTTCAGCAAAAATTGTATTTTTAACCATTATTATGTATATCTTCTTTGATATGGTTATCCGCTTGACCTCAATTAGTTCATAATAATTGCCTTTTTTAGTTTGAAATCGTTTAGATTGTGTGTAACTTTGTTTTGATGAATATACTGTTCTTTACACCTTTCAGTATACACAAGCCAGTTTATAACCTTAAAGGTAGTTACTCCTACATGGGTCTTAGATAAATTTTACAATAAATAGCTTGCTTACAATGTCCTCTTGTTAGTCTTGCTTTGGCTTTTGTAGTTTTTGTACTCCATGGGTTTTCGATTACTTTTTGTCTTTATTGTTTATACAAACCTAATATTCGTATTTATTAGTCCTTAAACTAGTGCAGTTAGTGGCAAGTTTTTATTTATATTGTTTTGTTTATAAGTAAAAAGCAAGCTACTTTTATATTTAATAGGCGCATGAAAATAGGCTTGCATAAATACAAATCTTTATGTTGTTTCCTAACTAGTTACTTACGACCGGAGACAGCGCAGGGGATATTTGTCAATTTTCAGCGACTTCTGCAATTTAATCAAGGTCGTTTACCATTTGGCGCAGCTCAGATTGGCCAAGCATTTCGTAATGAAATAAATCCACGGTCTGGCCTTATACGCGTCAGAGAGTTCACAATGGCAGAAATAGAGTATTTTGTTGATCCCTCGGACAAATCATTCCCTGCATTTTCAGAAGTGGCTGACCTTGAGCTCACTCTCTATTCCGCATGCGATCAAATGGATGGAAAGTCTCCAACATCTGTCAAGTTGAGGGATGCTATAACGCAGGTACATATTTTTTTATTTCATATATAGGTTTTCGAGACTACCACCAGATAACATATATTAGGTGTATTCACCCGATTTCGTTCAAATCACTAAGGGGCTGGTTTTATTGACCTAGCTTGAATAGGAATATTAGAATGATACCTTACTCTGATCATGTCTGTCATATAACAGACTAAAGCTCAACACATGACTTATGCGTTAGTCAATAACGAATAGAGCTTAACATGTTTTCATTGGAATAAAAAAAAGCTACATTGTCTACAGTACCAAAAGGATGCTACAGTAAAGTCGACTGACTGCTGGCCAAGAGGGCCGTCGTCTTTTCGTGGGATAGACTTCACACACACTTCCACTCTAGATGCAAATGGGATTAGCAATTATAAACCAATCGTAAGCTCTCAAGTCTGCAGACTAGCTCTAATTACCGTGAAAATCAATAGCGAATATCTCAAACAGGGAGCCTCTAACTTAAGAATATACACCATTATTTTTTCTCAGATTTTAATTTTATTTATTTAATTGAAAATATGAAGATCAAGATGGTGTGGCCTTTTGTGTTGTTGCAGTCTTTTTTCGTTTTATAGCTGCTGTTTGACCTTCTTTTCGCAACTTGATCATATTGGCAGGAAAACATATAGAAATGCACCTAGTTCGGAGTCCATAGTATGGATGATCTCCAGTCGAACCGTGGACGTGGTACATTCCCAGTCATTTCGTCGGCATCGTCAGTGAGTCTT